ATGGGCAGGGACACCTTCCACTAAACCAGGCTGCTCAAAGCCCCGTCCAACCTGGCCTGGAACACTGCCAGGGAGAGGGCAGCCACAGCTGCTCTGGGCAACCTGTGCCAGTGCCTCACCACCCTCACAGTGAATAATTTCTTCCCTATATCTAATCCCAATCTACCCTCTTTCAGTTTAAAACCATTACCCTCATCTTGTCACTACCCTGACAAAGAGTCCCTCCCCACCTTTCCTGTAGGCCCCTTTAAGTACCGGAAGGCCACTATAGGGTTTCCCCGGAGCCTTCTCTTCTCCAGGCTGAACAACCCCAACTCTCTCAGCCTGCCCTCGTAATGGAGGCACTCCAACCCCTGATCATCTTCATGGCCAACCTCTGGACCCACTTGAGCAGGTCCATGTCTTTCTTATACTGGGGGCCCCAGAGCTGGACACTGTACTCCAGGTGGAGTCTCACAAGAGTGGAGTAGAGGGGGAGAATCACCTCCCTCGACCTGCATGCCACACTTCTCTTGATGCAGTCCAGGATACAGTTGGCTTTCTGGGCTCTGAGCACACAGGTCATAGTCAGTTTTCCATACACTAGTACCCCCAAGTCCTTCTCCAGAGGGCTCCTCTCAATCCACTCATTGCCCAGCCTGCGTTTGTAGATGCGATTGCCTGACCCATGTGCAGGACCTTGCACTTGGCCTTGTTGAACTCCATGAGGTTTGCACGGTCCCACCTCTCAAGCCTGCCCAGGTCCCCCTGGATGGCACATCCCTTCCCTCCAGCGTGTCGACCGCACCACACAGCTTGGTGTCACTGGTGAACGTGCTGAAGGTGCACTCAGTCCCACTGTCCACGTCACCAACAAAGATGTTAAACAGCACCGGTCCCAACACTGACCCCTAAGGAACACCACTCATTGCTGCTCTCCACTTGAGCCATTGACCGCAACTCTTTGTGACCATCCAGTCACAATGTGACCAATTCCTCATCCACTGAGTGGTCCATCTGTCAAATCCATGTCTCTCCAATTTAAAGACAAGGATGTCACATAGGACAATGCCACTGTGAGACAATATCCCATTGTCTACCAGTTGCATATCTACACCAAGTGAAAGTCAAAACAAACTAGGTGTGGTATTGCATTAAAAAAAAAAAAAAAAAAAAAAAAAAAAAAAAAAAAAAAGCCCACAGGACAAACCACACAGCATAAGCAGCCAGAAATACAAACCGCATGTTCTCTGGCACTGCTTGCCAATGTTTCATGTCTCTGACTTCTAAGCCTATTTCCCTGTGGCAGTGTGGGTTCCCTGCATGTATTTACTTCCATGAACAGTTGTCTGCCTTTTCTTAGTTGTCTTTCAGTGACTCTTTAAACCCTTTCATCTTCTGAAAACCATCACTCTCTGGAAGGGACCTGTTGTGGCAAGAGCCATGGTGCAGTGCAACTCAGGCTGCAATGCTGCAGAATAAATAAAGGTCTCACCCGTGGCAGCTGGAAATCCCACTTTCAAGAATGTTCCAGCTTTAATATGTACCAAAAACCTACAGAGAAGAAAAAAAAATAGCTTTTAAGTACATTTCCTGTTTTCCAAAAGAATCTGGACATCTCTGGTTTCTCAACTCCAGTCACTTTTGTGAAAGCAGCTGGGAAAATGGTTTCCGTCCCTTGGATGCAGGCTGCTGCCCTGGCTTCAGTGCTGGTGGCCACTGAAATTTAAGCCACTTGATCAAAGCTGAGATCATTTTTCTTCCTTTTCAAACTGCCTGTTCTACTGAGGGAGAGAAGCAAGACTTCCTAGGACTTTCCACCAGATCCATCACCTTGTTCCCAGCAGAGATAATACCTCAGCGGAAAATGCAGATTCAAACCAGTTCAAAGATCCTAATAGTTTCCACATAGAGGAACTCCCCTCTGTATTAGCAAGACAGTGGTCACAGGAGCAGGGACTCCATGCTGTCCACATCCTACTGACAAGCTTGGCTGGTTTCCTTCAGGGTCAGTGCAGGAAGCTGCAGCCCTGCCAGTGGCTCAGTGCTGGGCTTTTGTCTGTGTGAGCTCCTGAAGCTTGGTCAGGTGGGAGATCAGTGTAGCTGCGTGTTTTCATATATGCATCAACTATGAAAGAAACTCTGAAAAGAAGGACATGTCTGACTGCAGCATGTAAATTACTTTATATCTTCGGCAATTGTCTTGAGAAAGGTCATTAATCTTCAGCTAGATTTTATCAGGAGCAAGCTGTCTTCTGTGGAATATTTTGTTTTTCTTTCCCCAGTTCAGTTACCAGATGCAATACTGAGCAAAATTCCCTCCATACCTGTGGGTTGGGAGCTGAGGTGGACTGTGTTCCTCTCATCTGCATGGCTTTTGGGTCATTTGACAGGTTTCAAATCTGAACCCTTTTTTAAAAAAAAAAAAACAAAAACAAAAACCAAACACAACACAGCTGATTTCCTCCAGGCTACAGTAAGAGAAGTGTCTAAAAATTCCCATCCTTCCAAATCCATATTTCTGATGTTACCATCAGCTTTGTTGTCCTAGTCTCATTTATATGTTATAGCAGCTTTTCTTCTTATCACGTTCCACAAAAACAGGCAGCGGTCCAGATTACAATGAGATGCTTTTAGAAAGCATCCATGTTAACTGCACAGCACATCCTCAGCACCAGACATTGGTAATTAACCCACCTTAAAACACTTGGTTAATTCTCAGATAAAGCCCAAGGGAGCAGCCTGCAAAGAACACCCATGGAAAGAGCTTTCATGACTGTGTGTGTCATGTATGTAGCACCATCACTTGGTCCCTCTTGGTGACCAGGTGAATTGGTGCTGCATGGATGTAAAAAACAGGAAAAATAAGTTTTAGTCAGTGTAGTTGTCCTCCTTCTCCCTGTATGAAAACTGGACCTGGTGCATCTTCTGGCCTAGGCTGGAGAAAGCCCAAAGGTAAGAGGAACATCTTTGTCTCCCCAGTACCATGGCATCTCACTGCTTTGATCACCCTGTAGTGATAAAAGGAGTGCTTGGTTTGAGTTTAGACTTAGTTCAGCAAAAAAATGATCTTTTGTCAGGAAAGGCCTTTCTGCCTGTCATGCTGGTCATAAATCATCTCATCTGATTTGTGTATATTTTGGGCAGAAAGGCAACCGAAGGCTGTGCGCAGTGTACCGCTGAAAGATGCTGTTTATAACCATAGGAAAACAAAGTTCATAGCCTGCTTTAAGCTGCATGTGTCAGCTGATTATTTTTTTAGAACACAATATTATTCCTACTAAGGACAGAATCTGCTTTTTTTTTAATTATTATTTTTTTTGTCTCTTCCACCTTGTGTTAATTGTGCTTTGTTGTGTTGCATCCTCGCTGCTCTCTGGCTTGTCCTCTTAGGTTCATTTTGTCCCTCTTGACAAAGAAACCAGGTCTGTGGCATGGAGTATTTATTTGCAGAACCCCAATAGCTGTGGTTTTCTAATATCTGTACTGGTCTTGGAAGGGGAGGAAAAACTAATACCTATGGGGTGAAATCATGGCTCGGTGGAAGGCAATGGCAGCATTCCTGCCGGCTTCACTATGGCCAGAATTTCACCCCAGGAGCGCCTGGGGAACTACATATCTTCACTGTCTCCTCTAACTGCCTGCCTCAATGCTGAACCAGGCGCTCACATTGATGCCTGTCAGCTGCTGCCTCCACACAGCCCCAGAAGAAAGGAAAAATAGGTCTGGTGGCTGCTCTGGGGCCAGACTGCTCCCCTTTTTAAACCCTCAGCTATTGTATTTGTTTCTCTTTGTCCCCTAATTCGTTATACTGGCAGTTATGTTAATGAAGCTCAGCTTGCTTATATCTGGGTAGAAGGAGGGTGCCTGTACCTGCTTCAGGGCTGGTGCAGAGGGGCTGCAGCACGCAAAAGAGATTATTTAGGAATGGGGAACTGTCCATGCCCAGGACCAGGTGATGCCCAGCCATCACTTCACAGCAGGTTAAGGTCAACACCCATGGCTTCACTTCACATACCCATGTTTCTCGGCTGGCTGATCCTCTGTGTGGACCCACCTGCAAAGTCACCTTTAGCCATACAGGGCACTTTGGCCCTTACTGCTAGAAAATGGCTTTAGTTGGCACCTGAAACACATGTGAAAGCTTGGTACCTAAATCAGGCTCACTGGGTCCCATCCTTTCCTCCTGTGTTTTCTTCAGCAGATGTTTTCTTACAGCAGCCTCAGAGTGCTGAGACACAGTGAGGTAAGAGATGCCTTGCATGGCTTACTCCCCTGGAAAACATGAGGTTAAATACTGTAAGCTCTTGGCCAAAGCAAGCCAGTGTCCTCTGGGACTGATCCTTCCCTTGCTGAAGTCAATGGGATCTTTGTCTGATTTTGCTGGCTGTTGTGAATTATTGTCTAAATTATTTCATCATTTTGGGATTGAATTTACCATGTCCATAAATAGTTTATTACTCTGTGCCGGAAAGACAGCAATTGTATCTCCTATTCTGTTTATTATTGCACTGCTAGGCTTTTAAAATTATAACCTGGCATCTCTTGCATACAGGGACTTCTTGCCATCCATTACTGTAAAGTCAGGATTTCAGCCATGTTTTTAGCACTGAGAATGGGAAGAACAATCGCAAATCACAGTTCAAGTCTTACTGTTAAAGATTTTACCATCCTGGACCTTGTCTACTCAAATAACATGGAAAACAGAGATTTGTGTATAACCAGCTTACCCCAGTGGCTGATATCAAAGTGGGAACCACATGGGAAAGATGCTGCTCATGGGGAAGGTACCCCACTGGTTTGTGATCCGACTTTGAAGTTTGCCATTTTTCTCATCTTCACTGTTTTTCAGAGATTAAACATAATGACTTGGGAGGGCTTATGCCCAGGACTTCTAATTCCTATACAGTAAAATGTCATGGTGTCCTGGTTTAAAGGGGAAATTGTTCCGGCAGTAACCCTTGAGCCAGTCTGACCAGGACAAGATGTTAGAAATGTGCTCTCCACTGCAGCCGGTGAGAATGGCCCTACCAGGAGTCTTTGGCAAAAAGCACCAGGGGATACCAGAGCTCAACCCCGGAGATATAGAGGATCTGAGGCCTGCTACACTCCAACTGAAAAAGAAATATTGGCAGCGTATGAAGGAGTTTGAGCTGCTTTGGAAGTGGTTGGTACTGAAGCACAGCGCCTCTTGGCACCTTGTCTGCCAGTGCTGGGCTGGATGTTCAAAGGCAGAGTCCCCTCTACACACCATGCAAATAATGCCACATGGAGTAAGTGGGTCACACTGACCACACAATGGGGTCACACAGGATACCCTGGTCACCCAGGAATACTGGAAGTGATCACAAGTTGGCCAGAAGGCAAAGATTCCAGAATGGCACCACAGGAAGAGGTGATGCTTGCTGAAGAGGCCCACCCATATAATAAACTATCAGATAATAAGAAGCAGTACACACTGTTTATTGATGAATTCTGTCATATTGTAGGAAAATATCGAAGGTGGAAGGCTGCTATGTCCCACTCAATGAGTCACAGAAGCTGCTGAAGAAGAAGGTGAATTGAGTCAGTTTGCAGAGGTGAAAGCCATCCAGCTGGCCTTAGATATTGCTGAGCAAGAAAGGTGACCAGTGCTCTATCTCTATACCAACTCAAGAATGGTGCATTTTGCAGGTGAAAAAACCCTGGAATAATTCATTCTAATTTGTAATTTCTTCTGTATAATCCTTTTTATTCTTTAGTACCTGCCAGTCTCTGAATGATGGTGAATTGGAAGAACTTGTGGCCAGGAAGGCCAATGGGATCCTGGTTTGCGTTAGAAATAGCGTGGCCAGCAGGGACAGGGAAGGGATCTGACCTCTGTACTCATCACTGGTGAGGCTGCACCTTGACTCCTGTGTTGTTTTGGGCCCCTCACTACAAAAAGGACATTGAATGACTCGAGCGTGTCCAGAGAAGGGCAACGGAGCTGGTGCAGGCTCTGGAGCACAGGTTGTACGGGGAGCGGCTGAGGGAACTGGGGGGGTTTAGTCTGGAGAAGAGGAGGCTGAGGGGAGACCTCATCGCCCTCTACAGCTGCCTGAAAGGAGGTTGCAGAGAGCTGGGGATGAGCCTCTTTAACCAAGTAATAAGTGATAGGACAAGAGGTAATGGCCTCACATAGCACCAGGGAAGGTTTAGACTGGATATTATGAAGCATTTCTTTACAGAACGGGTTGTGAGATGTTGGAATGGGCTGCCCAGGGAGGTGGTGGAGTTCCCATCCCTGGAGGTGTTCAAGAGTAGGATCAACTTAGCGCTGAGGGACATAGTGTAGTTGGGAACTGTCTATGTTAGGTTTATGGTTGGACTGGATGATTTTCAAGGTCTATTCCAACCTAGATGATTCTGTGAAATGTCCTGTGGGGGTGGTGACAGCAGTGGAAACAGAACAATTGGCAGTGTGGAGGCAAACACATCTGGGCTGCTGAATTATGGCAAGATATTGCTGCTCTGGTAGAGACACTGGTTGTGAAAGTATGTCACATAAATGCTTGTGTACCCAAGAGTTGGGCCACTGAAGAACATCAAAACAGCCAACAGGTGGATCAAGCTGCTAAGATTAATATGGCTCAAGTGGATCTGGACTGGCAACATAAGGATGAAAAATTTATGGCTCACTGTGCCTATGATTCCTCAGGCCATCAAGGAAGGGATGCAACACATAGATGAGCTCGTGATCGAGGGGTGAACTTAACAGTGGAGTCTATTGCGCAGGTTATCCATGAATGTGAAATGTGCTGCAACGCAACAAGCCAGTTAAAACCTCTTTGGTATGGAGGATGATGGTTAAAATATAAATATGGGGAGACCTGGAAGATTGATTACATTATGCTCCCACAAACCTGGCATGGAAAAAACTACATACTCACAATGATGGAAGCAACCACCAGATGGCTGGAAACATACGCCGTGCCCCATGCCACCACCCGGAACACTTCTTGGCCTTGAAAAGCGAGTCTTGTGGTGGCATGGCACCCCAGAAAGATCTGAGCCAGATAATGGGACTCATTTCTGAAATAATCTCATAGACACTTAGACCAAAGACCACAGCACTGCATGGTTATATCACATCCCTGATCATGCACCAGCCTCTGGGAAAATCAAGCAGTACAATTGGTTGCTGAAAACTACACTGAGAGCAATGGGTGGTGGAACTGTCAGACCTTGGGACACTCATTTAGCAAAAGTCACCTGGTTAATCAACATTAGGGGATCTGCCAATCAAGCAGGCCCTGCCCAATCAGACCTTCTATGTACTGTAGATGGGGTTAAAGTCCCTGTAGTGCACATTAAATATATGCTGAGGAAGAGTCTGGGTTATTCCTGCCTCGGGTCAGGGTAAATCCATTTGTTTTATTACTTTTTCCCAAGGACCTGGGTGCACTTATTGGGTAATGTAGAAGGATGGGGAATTCCTAGGTGTGCCTCAAGGGGGTTTGATTTCGGGTGAAAATAGCTGATGAATTGAATTGTATGATGGTAATTGCTGAGTAACCCTGTTATTGTGTATCATTATCACTATGGTTGATACATATTATACTGATGACATCATATTAAGAATCACCCAGGTTAATGAAAAAGGAACTTTAATGAAGCCAGGACTAGTTTCAGCAACTGGTGACCAGTAACTTCCTCAAGATTGACATCTTCAGCTCGCAGACTGAGCATGGACCGCACCAGATACATCAGCTATGAGCTTCACATGTAGGAGAGACTACGTGCCATTCCCCTGCTGCAACCAAGGTCACCCAGTCCAGTGACTGAGCCAAGCCTGCATCACCCCTCCTGCCTTAAAAGACTGTCATGACAGGTGGAACCCAAAGTTATGGACTAAATGAACTCACTACACATTTTGGAGGGATGGCCCATAAACTTATATATATATATATATATATATATATATATATATATATAAAAATATCGTAAAGCAGGAAATAAGATCTCAATTAGTTAGAATATGTTGGAAAACATAGAACCTGAGCATAATGGAAATGGTATGGAATAGAGGGTGGATATTGTCCTGGTTTTGGCTGGGATAGAGCTTGGGTTTTTTTCCTTCTTAGTAGTTTGACTAGTGCTGTGTTTTGGATTCAGTATGGGATTTGATATGATAAGAATGTTGATAATGTACTGATGTTTTTAGTTGTTGCTAGAAATCAAAGACTTTTCAACTTCCCATGTCCTGCTAGTCAGCAGGTGCACATGAAGCTGGGAGGGAGCACAACCAAAGCAATGAACCCAATCTGGCCAATGGAATATTCCATATCACATAAGCTCATGATCACTATATAGATAAGGGTTAATCAGAAAGCTCACTCTGGCTTCTGGGATTGTGGGTTCAGGTTCTCTCTTCTCTGGGATCACTAGCCAGGAACGGGCTGGGCAATGGTCAGCAGGTGGTGAGCAATCACATTGTGCATTAGGCATCTCTATTTTCTGTTATTATTATTACTATCATTATTATTTGAATTGTATTTGATTTCAATTATTAAATTGGTTTTATCTCAACCTATGAGTCTCCTTACCCTTACCCCTCCAATTTTCTTCCCTATTCCTTGAGGGTGGGACAGGTTGAGCGAGTGGCTGCAGGGTGTTTGGCTGCCAGCTGGGTTTAAACCACGACACATGGAAAACGAGATGCAGACATTTACTCTGCTCTTGTGCTCTTGCCGAAAATTATCTCATCCATGCTTCTTAACCTCTGACATTGAAGGGCGTGATCCAAAAACCTCAGTGGGACAATTCAGGGGAATTTCACTTTGAAAAAGGCTCCTAGCAAGCGTGTAACCTCCTTGGAAAGACTGTGTAGCAATCCATCATTTTATCTGAATGAGGTTATCCCACAGGGCACCCTTGGCTAGTGGCCCGTGCTGGGCATGACCCAAAAGCAGAGCACCTCCTGAGCCTGTGAATCTCCTATACGGTACCTCTGCTTGTGGACATATAATTTTTGTGTTATTTGCTCATATTTTGGCATTGCTGCAAAAACTTTCCTGGCCTTTGAAATGTGAAGGTGTGTACTGCGCAAACAATAAATCAATAATCTAAGTTGAGACTCGTCATGAGTGAGGCTTGCCTGCAATTGCCTCCTGGCAATCATTTAAATTAATTTCTTTTAACACTTCTGTCATTGCTCTTTACAGAGTCCAGAAAAATGCATGTGAACAGAAGGAGGTGCCGCCTTCAGCAACTTCACACCTGACATTACCTCCATGTGTCAGGAAAGCTTGTCACGAAAAGGCAAGTGCCAGCAACAGATACCTGCTTCCCTTGTGTTTGACATTGCTTGGAAACATTTTGTGGTTTCAAAGCCAAGGCTAGGGAGGCTGTCCGGAGAAAGACAACCCTCTGAACAGGTTATTTATGAGACTCTATAAGAAGGGCACTTAGGAACATGGATTGAAGTGACTATGCCAAGGACATCAGACTGTGTTGATGCCCAACTGTTCTGTCTCTGGCCCACAAAGTCTCCTGGAGCCGCTGCACCTCTGAAGCTTCAGTGCCTTTCAGTGTGTTGTGGGCAGCAGATGTGTGTGTGTGTGTTTGTATGCAGGGGTCCTTCCAACCTCAGCCAGACCTTCAGTTTTCACTCTTTCTGTCTCTGCGTGGCCAGCCCTGCCTCCGGTGCTGCCACTGCACCAGACCCACTTGCACGCTCCGCTGCCCTGGCTCCTGGCAGCTGGTTTCAGTGGCCAGCCCAGGAGCTCGCACTTCCCAGAGGCACACCACCAGCCCCACACCTCCCACCTGCTTCTAGCTGGCAGCAGTGGCAGGACACATGGGAGACATTGTTGCTCACCCCCATGGCCGGGTGCACTTTAGGGATGTCAGTAGTTTGACTTTTTAATTTGGAAACACTGCTGCTCACTGCTTGGGACCTCAGAGGTTGCTGCCCCCAAACCAAATAAGCACCAGGCATCAAGGGGAGTGGGTAATGTAAGAACCAGGTGGGAATCAGTCCCTAATTGATGTGGACAATGCCAGGCACTTGCCAGACAGCGTCAATCATGGCACAGGTTGAGAAGGAGCAGGCATCCAGACTTAGCAGAAGAGGATGTTTCCTGACAGAAAAAAAAAAAAAAAAAAAGCTCAGGCTCAGCAAATGTATTCTGGTTTTCAGTTTCTGTGGTTACAGACAAAGTTTCTTCACATGATCACAACAGCTCAAGCATGCAAGTCTTTCCAGGAGAGGTTTCATGCTGAAATTTTTGGCTCCTTCAAAGAGAAAGCTTGTTGGGCTCAAGCTCCCCCCAGGATAGAAAGGTTTTTGTATATGGGATGTCAAATCAAAATTGCTGGTTTTCACTCCACTTCACGGTTCAGCCTGGCAGGCATCTGCCAGATCTTCACCCTTTTGAGCCACGTTCCTTTAAAAATCGAGCTCTCCACAGTCAAGCAAATAATACTCATTCAAACTACATTTTGATGAGTTGCAAAAGAAGTGAACTTGTGGAAGGAAAACCTCGAGCACAAAGAGCATTCGAGTACGAGATAGTTTCCAAATATCTCCTACAACCGGATGAGCCAAACTGGAAAATTGTGATGTAGTTTCTGTTGACCCCCACCCAAGCTCAACACTGTTTGGGCCACAGATTTTAATCTGGCCCATCTTTACTTATTACTCTTGAAAAATAAAATAGAGCATTCTAAGAGAGTTTTAAAATAGCTCAAGTGTGACTCAAATCCAGCAAAATCATGTCATTTTAAGCTTAAAGAAAATGTTTTATCCTTAATTTGCCATGCAATGTTCAAATCCACAAAATGAGGTGCTG